TCATCGTAATCGATCCATTCGTTTATGAGTTATCGTGCTAACGGGCGGACGGACAGACGGACAGACACCGCAAAATTATAAACTCGCTAGGAGCTCGTTAACTCGTTAATAAAGAGAACAAGTAACTGAACATAAGATTATTCATTCGTCAGAAGGAAAGCCAAATCCACTTGGTTTCCTGGTCACGGGAAACATCCACTAGTGGTGGGTGAATGGAAACACGGTGCTTTTTCAGCTTTTTTGCTATGTGCAATGACACCCGCACCCACATTAGCACCTGTTCTGCTACAACTTACCACAACTTTTTTATAAAAAATTTTTGATCATACAACTATTACCTCGATGAAGACTTAAATTTTGTTAATTTGAGAAACTCAGCAGCCTTGATCGCTTCCCCACAATTCCAAATAATTAATTAACATATTTTTAATTAATGCCGACTACAATCCTGGGTGTGAATAGAAGAATTTATCTGAAGAACTCTTATATCTTGGGTCGTAATTTGGGTTCGGTTAACCACAGCTCATCATTGACTAATAACATTAATTTATTCGACGTACATAAAGAACTAATAATTCTAAAAATAAAGCGCACTCAACGCCCGAAGACAATATACCACGCACATGCGACCGATTAAAATAAATTACATTTCAAATAAAACATATGCAAAAAAACACCAACGGATGTTGCTTCGGAATCTGTACTTTCACTTGATTTTTCATTTAAACAAAGATGTAATTGCAAATGTGAAAGTGGCTTTTTGTACTAAAAACTTCTAAGAAAGGTTTCACTTATGCGATTACACAACACCCAAACTACTTCTTTGTATAAAGGAGACTACACTTAAGATTAATTTGAACTGGAATATTTACTTTTATAAGAACGAATTAAAATCTCTTAGAACATAATCTAAAGTAAACTTTCTTTTACAAAAACTTTACAACCACCAAGACTGACTGTCTTTCACAAAAAAAATCATTAACCAAAAAGCCCTGTTTTCCGTCTGCTAAGCCTTTTTAACTGTTCCTTTTCATTCAACCTTTCAATGCTGCTTGATTATTATTTTGTTAAATTAGCTAATCAAATCCACCGGCTCCCTCTCCCATCTACCTTCAATATGCATCTCTCGATAAGCTAACACCTGTGTTTACACTGCGAACACCTGTTTATCTTCAAATTAATTAGATTTTACGGAGCGACAGCAAATTCCTTATCGCAAGACTGAGTTTAAGTGGGATGAAGTTTAAAAAACCTAATCTTCCTTAACGCGTAATCTCGTAGAATAATCAATCGGAATACAAGGCGATTATTTAAACAAAATTAAGCATCTAATCGTTCTAATACAAAATATCATTGACTTCAAATTCAAATGAACGAATTTGTGTTCAATCCAATTTAACAACCACATTTACCTTAAAAAAATTAACATTAAATTATACCTACAGAATATCCCATCAATACTATAGGTGCTGATATAAATAAAAACGTCCACGAGACGTATTTTGCATTTAAATAATGTACTAAACATATAGGTAATATAGGTAATTACTAATTAATTAATAATAATTAATAATAGTATTTGCCACTCAGACACAAAGTACAAGCACAAACATACCGTGAGGACATAAGGGACCCACTACGTTTTTTTAATGAAATATTGTGTCATTTGGAAGCTCCTTTTATGCTGAATTCATCTCGAGTTTGAAAATTGAATAATTCATTTTCAAAATAAATCGAAATTATGCGAAGCTGTCACTGTGACATAAAAAATTGTCAGTTTCAACTTAACTAAAATAAAACGGAAAGCATAAAAGATAGGTATAGGAAATGTAATACTTGATCGATGTAGAATTTGTTTCGACATTGGAAAATGCAGAAAAATAATCATGTTTCATTGGAAAAAATCAAGTTTTTAAGGTTTGAAGTTATTAAAGTTGACCATTAGTTTTAAACGCGCCGTAGAAGGGCGATCAAAATTTAAATCATTGTCATACAGCATGAACTACTGTCGAATTTGGAATACTTTTTGAAATTCAAGTCATAGGTACAGGGCAGTCAAACGCCAAAAATTTTGAACAATCTTGAATAACTTGAGAACCTTTGATGCTGATTGCTGGGTATAGGAGAATGTGGTATCAGACGACTTAGATATTGTCATGTAGTGTTGATGAATTGCTCCATTTAATTAGTGTGTGGCTAATAGTAGACGAATGTTTCTAACCTCACTTCACCATACATGCCTTTCATCCTTCACAATTCTACAGATTTTCAAAAATATTCTTCAGATATTCAGATATAACGTCCAACATCAACATTATTCATTACATTCTCATGATTCGTTTAACTATCCTGACGTATCGCCTGATGATGGACGAGGCCGTCCGAAATCGATAGCGACCAACTAACATTTTCAATAAAAATTAGTGTAATACATTCGTCTACTATTGTCATGTAGATTTCCAAAATGCGAGAAAATACAGGGTGTTCTATTTTTAAAAAAAACGTATCGACATCCGGTGAAACCGGAAGTGAAACGATCATGATATTTGATTTGGATAGATCATTAAAACATATGTTTATATGCACATTTTCAGGTTTAATCATTCATGAATGTCCTTTAGGTAACGGTTTGCGTGAAACAACCTGTATACAAAACGTAACCTGTAACGGGAGCCCGTAACGTATTTAAATTACTTCGATTTTTTATTTGCATTAAGTTTCCAAAACGTCCTCGTAGAGTAGAAATTCCTTGGAAGTTATTTTATAGTGCAGTGGCTCACAAAGGAGTATGTCTCTGCCAGGTCAGTTTACAGGATCCTCGATGCTTTCCCATTTCCATTTGTTCATTATTCCCTTGTTTATTTCTACCAAAATGTTCAAGTTGCAATCATTGTTAAGGTTGGAGTTAAGTTGCTTATTGTTATAGTTATATTATTGTGAAGACCAAATAAAAACTATTGACATCACTATTTTCCATGAACGTATTTGAGGAGGTCAAAGAAAAAGCTGAAGTATGTTGTGCTTGGGGGGTATTTTATGTTAAAAAATAAAATATTTTGTTATTCGCTTCAAAACAGGCGACTTATCAAACGAAAACGACACTCGTTCATTGCAATTCTTGGCGAGTTGAACAGGCAAAGGATACGAGCGACAGCGCTATAAACAATACGTTGAACATCTTTTAGAGCTTGCGAAAATATTGTAGTGACAAAGAAAATTAAAGACTAATAATTTGTTTTAGGGAGCTAAATGAATTCTACTCTTAATGGGTATTCTTTGTTTCGCAAACACGCCATTTATTTGTTAGGGGCGGTTAAATTGATTTAAGTCTGAAGTAGGTGAATTTTATAAGGAAAGATGGATTCGCTTTAACGTTACAAAGGTCTTAGGGAGACACTTTGCCGGTTCAAAGAGGGTACGAGGCACAATGAATATCTAAGAGTTAATTAGCAAAACATAATAACATCAAACAGCTATTTGTAGTGAGGAAGAAATACTCCTTTTGTTTGAAATATACTTTGCGAATGATAAAACATAATGAGAAAAAACTTTGTTAAGTGGTACTTTTTCGTTCATACGCCTAAAAGTGTTTACATACTATCTAATAAATAATTAATTTTATTAAATGTATGCATGTAGTATGTATGCATATTGAACTTTCATTAAGGTAACAATACATATTTTCCAATCCAGTAATATCAACTATGATGAAAATGGGAAGGCGCATAGTGTACAGGCTGAACAAGTGAGGTTACGTGATTTGTTTATAATTTTTGTGATGAGAAAATATACTATTTACAAAGTATCATGTGTCAGCGTTAACTCCGTGCTTGTGTGAAGAAGTGACACTCCGTCAACCCACTGCGTAGACGTGGATGGCCATTACGAGATTGGAGAATCCACATCAAAGAAGACCAGGAAATTTAAGATGTAACAACGATATATAATTCCAATCTGGCCCAATTATGAATTTAAACCATCCGGGGACACACAGAGGTACAAAAAAATACATCAACATCCGTCCAGCTGTTCAGGAGGAGTTCAGTGACAAACACACGTACAGTAGAATTTTATATACAGTGTTATTCATTTAGATTTAGAAGTTAGCATAGGGATTTCTACTTTTAAATGACAAACACCCTTCTGAAAGACGCCTAATTTTATGCAACCAAAATAACATGCGCACGCATCATTCTAGAATTTAGTAAAAACGACAAGTAAAATAGTATGCTCTGAGGTTATGATGAAGAGATATTAAATGAAGCTGCTATTTCCCTTAAGTTTCTTATAGATTCTCTTCCACAAAAATTAAAACATTCACTTTCCTATCCTCCGTTAAAATTGAGGATTGCTTACGGCGTCTTATGTGGATCGTATTTAAACAAGCACTGATTTTAAAAATACAGAAAATAAGGCCAGTAGACAATATCAACTTTTTCTTCAGCACACGAACGAACATAAAAAAACGGAAGCCCAAGCAATAATATTCGAATTAGTAAATATGACAGTAAAATCTAAATTTGTTTTAAGTTATTTTGGTTGCATAAAATTAGGCGTTTTTTAGAAGAGTTCTTGTTATTTAAAAGTAGACATAGGAAAATCAATACACAAATAAGTTTGACCTGACTTGCAGTTTTCGATAATGAACCCACCGTGAAAACTGGTGGTTACAATATTACTTAAAATTTGCCTATCACGAGCAAACTAAATTAAACGCAATCGACAAATGGATCTACCTCTTGAATCTATGACCAACCGGTAGTTTCGCCTACTTAAATGAATTGAACTTTGTAGTAGTCCTAAGTATGTCTTACTTTGCGTGGATAAAATTCCACATTCAAAAAATAACTCCATTGAGAGCCCATGTTGGATATCGCACTACGTGGCTGATTATCGTTACTCTAGCTAGAGGCTTTTACTTGCAATATCAATAGCAAACGCTTTACTAAGTTACTGTTGCTCAAATATACGTTATAAGCTTAGTCTAATTAATGACTTACCAAAATATCCTTGAATGCGTCAGGCAATAGCTCCATTAATTTATTTTCACTAAGCTTTAGCACTTGCAGTTTAGACAGCCTCGCAAATATTCTAGGCACAAGCTCCTCGATACGATTGCGTTCCAACGTTAATATTCGTAATTCCGTTAAATGTTTAAACACGTCACTCGATAATCTCTGAATTAAATTATCATTTAAATATAGTTCGACTAAATTCACTAGGCCCCGAAAATTGTGATCAAACACTGCGGTTATGTTATTAAATGCCAAATCGAGAACCTTTACGGTCGGTACGCCCCAAAAGGAATGCATACCAATCTGGACAACGCTCGATCTCGTTATTCGAATTTCCTCTAATGTTTTAAATTTCTGGAACACTGGACCTATTGTTAACGAATTCCAATTACTTTCGGGTGCAGATATATCGAGCACTTCCATTCCCGAATCCATATCCTTTACGGGAAGAGACTCCATCATCCCTCCCTCTATGCAAGCAGTTTTCTTTCGACCACTTTCGTCTAACGCACAAGAACAATGGGATGGACAAATTGCGCTACTCGTACACAGCCAAATGAGCATGAAGCACGTGAATGGTAGATGCCAATGCCAGAGCATTCTGTAACAAAAGCAGCTGTTAATTTACGTTACTAAAATCTTTCCGTTAATATTTTGATATACAACCCCAGAGTTACAAACAAAGATCCGCGTTTTAAATAGATTTTCCCTACGGAATTTATTTCCATGGAAGCACAGGTTCTTTTAGACCTCGCTCAATAAATGGGAGCTTATTAATTGCAGAAATTTAAATTTAGCATTCGTATTTCGTAGCGCATACCGTATGACTAGAAACTTTTAAACGACTTTCTGGGGCTCAGGTACGTCGAGTTAACTACCCTCTTCTCATTAGTGTAATTCGTGGCATCCATCTACGTACTCTCAACGAGAGTTTTTATTTCTCGCTACATGTACGCCGAATAGGTACATATAAATAAAGATACCGTATACTATTCGACTTAATTGCCATCTTTTGATATAAGTATTTCGATTTAATTAATTGGAATAGAATTTCCATTCCCAATTTTATATGTGGGTAAAATTGAATGGAAAGTTGAAGTGTGTTTTGCATCGAAGAATCTATGTTCTTAAAGCGGGGAATTAAAAACATAAAGATTAAATAAAATTGCAGTACGCTTTCTGAAACATCGCGCACCTGATCGCGCATCTATTTATAAATTATCAACATCGAGGGTACGAACGGGTCTACTCAGATCTTTGACCTGGTGAAAGACTGTGATCTCTACTATTAGACTGAACGGGAACGCAATTAATCTGGGATAAGCCGCATTCTTTTTCCATGTCTTATAAACGCGGTGCAATTACCGAAGAGCGCTGACCTTACCCTAGGGTAATTTTCTACAACGTAGAAATTTCTGAATCCGGATAGCATCCATGTGAGTTTTGTTAAATATTTAATATAACGGCAGTTATTGTTTCTAAACATTTTTCTCAAATAAAAGATAACTAATAATGGAAAATAATGGTGAAAATAAAAAAGGTTTAAATTAAAAAAATTAAATTTTCGCATTTTTTTCAAGAATGCAAATTCTGACAAAAATTTCTGAGCACCCTGTATATACTTTTTGAATATTTTTTACTATAGGTAAAGCCCATAACTTGTTTAAAATAATTCTGAAAATAATTGTTCCATCTAGCTTCATTTATAGCAGGTATTTTATTGACTGAAAGACTACTCAAATCTACGAGGGTCGTTTGATAAATCTCCTGGTTGGTAACCTTAGACGTGATCAGGTTGAAATTACATTTTCGTGAGGTAATTACAGAAAATGTTTAATAATAATAATAATAATAATAATAATAATAGAGATCGTAAAAGGCGATCAATGGGCACTAAAGGTGACCAGTCCAACCACCTTTAGTACTTACCTACCCACTTTACTTTCCAACTCCCACGTCCATGTTCCCTACTTTCCTACATTATACACAACACGCAGGTGGATATTTGCTTACGCGAATATCTTGAAGAGTGACGCCTTCACGTGTTCCTAGTCACCCCATATTCTTATGAAAATGGAGTTTAAGCAAAGCCTCGGAAAAATGCCGCTACCTGAGGAGCGTCAGGGCACGTCTGGAGCTATCGCTGGGCGTTGCAGCATGCGAGCCGATAGTGACGAGTTGGTGAACAGGCGGCCGCTCGTCGGGATACCCGAAACCTCTACAGCCGAAAGAAGACTACGAAGAGGACAACGACCACCTGAAGAGGACCGCCATGAAGAGACCTTTGTGCCTGCTTCTCAACCGCTTGTGGATGGGACCAGCGCAAAGGATACCTCCAAAAGACGTATGAAATGGGACGAAGGGATGAATCGCTTCATTTTCGGTACGTATCTGGAGATCACGAAGATGGAAACGGACAGGACAGCATACAGAGGTAAACTATATCACGCGTTCATTACACAATACCCACATTTAGCACACTTGACAGAACAACGCATTGCAGACCAACGTAGAGTTATCATTAAAAATACACTCCTTACATTAGACACACAGGAACAAATCAGGCACGCAATAGGTATGTTGGTAAGTACGAATTACATTATCCCTAGATGTCCAATGTACGTGTGTGATTTTTTTTTTTTTTTTTTTTTTTTTTTTTTTTTTTAAGACACAGACACAGACACTAATCGTTACTTGATTTTAATCCGTGCGATTAGTTAACCAGGCTAGACCTGAGTTCTCACAAGAAACACCGACCATAATAATAATAATAATAATTAACGTCTTAGCACATAAAAAACATAAAACTCATTCTTCACAGAAACACACCACGTTATCACAACCCACTCGTATACAACCCAAACGCAAAAACCTAAACAGCACTACTAGCTCACAAAATACTGTAATATCTCCACGAATAACCCAAGCAACCACACAAATACAACCTCAAGAACAAAGAAACACAAGAAATACAAGTAACGCAACATGCACTACAAAAACAGGTCCACCCAATAAAATTACACGTCTTAGCACAGTTAAAAAACACAATACTCCTTCTTCTCAGAAACAACCCACTCGTATTCAACCGAAACGCAACAACCTTAAAAGCACTACAGGCTCACAACATACTGTAATGTCTCCACCAATAACCCAAGCAACAACACAGATACAACCTCAAGAACAAAGAAACACCATAAATACAAGTAACGCAACATGCACTACAAAGACAGGTCCACCCAATAAAGTTACACGCCCTAGCACAGTTAAAAAACACATAACTCATTCTTCACAGAAACACACCACGTTATCACAACCCACTCGTACTCAACCCAAACGCAAAAACCTAAACAGCACTACTAGCTCACAAAATACAGTAATACCTCCACCAATAACCCAAGAATAACACAAATACAACCTCAAGAACAAAGAAACACCATAAATACAAGTAAGGCAACATGTACCACAAAGACAGGTCCACCCAATAAAGTTACACGTCCTAGCACAGTTAAAAAACACAAAACTCCATCCTCGCCGAAGAACACCACGTTATCACAACCCACTCGTATTCAACCCAAACGCAAAGCCAAAGAAACACTTACACAATAAACTCCATTTAATAAAATTACAGGAATTATTATAATGATTTTTGTTTTGTTTTGTTTTCCTCTTTCCTGATAGCGTTGGCTTATTGTACCCATCAATATGTATGTTGGTAAGTATGAATTACATACTATCCCTAGATTTTTAATGTACGTGTGTAATTTTTTTTTTTTTAGGACCCTACATAACTTCACCAGACACAGACACAGACACTGATCGTTACTTGATTTTAATCCGTGCGATTAGTTAACCAGGCTAGACCTGAGTTCTCACAAGAAACACCGACCATAATAATAATAATAATAATAATAATAATAATAATAATAAATGTCTTTAATAAGTACGTAGGTTAAATTACATAGAAATGTGTACAAAGGGCGAGATTCAGTAATGGAATGAAACATACATACCATTTCTGCTCTTCCATCTAACCCATGTGATTCCGTTCATTAACAGAAAATACAAAAAAAAATAAAAATAATATATCTAGCAAAAAAAAACCTCAAATTAAATTGTAAAATATCATTGAGAAGAAGATTGTTCGTGCAATAACCTCGACATGGTACCTAATCTGAATAGTAGTGATATAAGGCCGATTCTAACTCAAAAGTCACTAGAAAAGTCACTAGATGTGAAAAAAGTCACTAGAAAAGTAACTAGGTTTGAAACTCTGCTCAAAGTCACTAGAAGGTCACGAGAGGTTTGAAACTCGGCGTGAGGTTTGAAACTCTGCTAGTGATATAGGGGCCGATTCTAAATCAAAAAGTCACTAGACACGAAAAAGTCACTAGAAAAGTAACTAGGTTTGTAACTCTGCTGGCGAGGTTTGCGCCTGTGCTAACGTCAAGGTCAAGGGGGTCGAGGTTTGCGCCTGTGCTAACGTCAAGGGCGTCGAGGTTTGCGCTCGAGATAAAGTATCGGAGGTTTGCGTCCGAGCTAAAGTAATTTGGTTTGCGCCTGAGTCGAGGGTCTTGTCGATGGTAGTGTACGGCCGATTCTAAATCACACTATATTCTAAATATAACTGGTGGTGGAGATTGACGCTTATATAAGCCCTATATGTTCGTTACAAGGTGTACATGTATTAAAGATGTCGTGGATGGCATATGCTGAGGAATCATGGACCAAAGCTACCGATTTCGTGACGGCCGTGAGACGCCTTAAGCAGCATTTTTCTGCATTAACATTTGATGCAGAGCACGAGGCGATATATGGACGCGGTGAATACAGCCCAGAGGAGTGTCAAGCTATTGCCGCAAAGTATGAGTTAGGAGAGGCAATATGTGACAGTTACTTAAGCTATAAAATATGTGATGAGTGTATTATCCGGAAACTAAGGGATGCAAAGTTGGAGCAATTTAGTGAACAGTTGCAAGCGTGGAAGGATGAATCTTCAGCATCCAGTGAAGAGTGTTAAATTCAATGAATTCAATAATAGAACATATGTAATGGTGACGTGGCATTTTGCTTATTGGGCAGCAAGGAAAGGTCCATGGGAAACTGTAGCAGTCGATAGAGTTCGATTCCGACGTAGAATCGAGCAATATCATGCAATAATTTCTCCAGTATTACAAGCGGATCATCGTTCGGCAGTGTATCGCGGTAGATTTCAAGGTCACGAGTTGGAAATATAAGGGTGAGCGGTAGCGATGGTTTCAATCAGTCCAGTGGTGTTATTGAAACAGTGAAAATGGATCTTAACGCACTAAACAACAGTACATTCTGTAAAGTATTCAAAAATGCCAAGGACTTGGAAGTGGGGGAGAAGTTTAGAATTGTGAATGCCGACACCATAAATACAAAATATGGTGATCGAATAGTATTGGAAACTGAAAATTTTAAATGTGTGCTGCCGTTACGATTCTATGAATACTTCAAGGAAGGCGATCGCCTGAACGTCCTCAAAGAGTCCTTGAAGACTAGGGATGTATTCATCGAAAGCGTCGGATCAGCGGGAAAAACGACCAATTTAAAAT